TTTTTTTTTTTTTTTTTTGGTATAAATTGAGATTTAGCGCTCAATTTTTCTTGAAGATGCTCCCTACATTTCATTTGAAATATTCCTATTAGATGTCATGATATTGATCAAAGGGGCGCTGATAATTTTCAAGGCGCAAAAATAACTGTTCTTGAAGTGATGTTCTGGCCAAGATCGAAAGTTGGGCGGCCCCAAAACTAAACTCGAGCGACTTGGTGAAAGATTGATCGTTGATTGAAAATTCCAAGAGCAGGATCAATGCTCAAATGCATCCCAATCTGGAAAACGTCCAAATGGGATGTTGTGATCAATCTCGAGGCCGTTTGGATGTTCTGTAGATATTAAACTTTTGAAGGTTATGCTTTGTTATAGACATTATAGGACTTTGATGATGGGATTTTAAACTTTTGTAGGCTAATTGTGAAAAGGCTCGTTTGACAAATTTGTGCGGCAGATTTATACTTGTTTCTTTTGTTGATCAATGAGGTGTTTTGGGTTACAAAAAGTAATAACCAGACATGTGTTGGTGTGGCTTTGGGTTGTGAGTTAGTGGTCTGCAAACCTTGAAGATGAAGCTCTTAAGAGTGCTTCATAGATAATTTAAGGCCTACTTTATATACATGAATACGGGATAGATAAAATTACAAACATTTGGAATCACTACTACTTGTAAAATATTAGAAATTGAAAACAAACAATTATGATGGGCAGAGAATATCTCTGTAACTCAAGTTTTAATGAACAACCAAGTTCCTTAGTACTCTTGCCCCATGAGGCAAAAATAATTCTCTCTCTGCAAATGCTCCTCTATACACAAGTTTTTTTATTTCATTAATAAAATATGCACACACAAAATAAAATGTAGGGATATTTTCACAATGCATTTAACAAATAATTTTTAGTTTGGAGCTTCAGGTTTCCCGAGTCTTTATCGTGACAATCCATAAGCAAATAGTGCTACCGATGTGTCTTTTGATGCTAGAATTCTCAATAAAATCATGTTCATTAATAGCAAAAGAAAATGTAGTCAGTAATATATGCCCAAGTCAACTGAAAAAAAAAAAATAAAAAATAAAACAAAAGCTTGTTCTAACTTTTAAAAAGAACTCAAACTACTCAATTGAATCATGTAATTCAATTTAGATCTTCATTTAAATCAAACATGTGTTGGTTTTCCTGCAAAAATAAGACAAAAAAAAAAAAAAAA